CAACAGTTTAAACAAACCCATAACATATAAGGAAATTTAAACAGTAATACAAAGCCTCCCAACTACAAAAAAGCCCAGGTCCATATGGCCATACAGCAGAATTCTACCAGACTTTTAAAGAAGACCTCCAACCAATACTACTTAAATTATTCAAAACAGTAGAAACAGAGAGAATATCCAAATTCCTTCTATGAAGCCAGCATCTCTCTAATACCCAAACCAGGTAAAGACACAACCAAAAAAGAAAACTATAGACCCATATCCTTAATGAACATAGATGCAAAAATTCTCAACAAAATACTTGCAAACTGCAAACAGATGTACATCAAAAAGACATTCACCGTGATCAAGAAGGCTTTATTCCAGAGATGCAGGGATGGTTCAATATACACAAGTCAATAAACGTCATTAATCACATAAATGGATGCAAAGACAAAAAAGACCTAGTCATCTCAATAGATGCAGAAAAGGCTTTTGACAAAATTCAGCATGTATTGCATTTATGTTCAAAGTCCTAGAGGGAATTGGACTGGAGGGAACATACCTCAACATAATTAAAGCTACATACAACAAACCCACAGCCAACATCATTCTAAATGGAGAAAAACTGGAAACATTCCCAGTAAAATCAGGAACCAGACAAGGATGTCCAGTATCTCCACTACTTTTTCAACATAGTGCTTGAAACTCTTGCTAGAGCAATAAGACAGGAGAAGGAAATTAAAGGAAACACTTTCAGTATAGTGGCAGGTTATAAAATCAATCTACAAAAAGCATTAGCCTTTCTATATACCAATAACTAGCAATTGGAGAAAGAATACAGGGAAATGCTCCCTTTCACAATTGCTGCAAAGAAAATAAAATATCTTTGAATAAATCTGACCAAAGACACCAAATATCTCTACAATGAAAATTTTAAATCAAAGAAAGACATTGAGGAAGACACCAGGAGATGGAAGGACCTCCCATATTCATGGATTGGAAGAATTAATATTGTGAAAATGACCATCCTACAAAAACAATATATAGATTCAATGCAATCCCAATCAAAATCCCCATGACATACTTCATAGAATTAGGGAAAAAAATCCTTAAATGCATATGGAAGCACAAAAGACCCTGGATAGCCAAAGCAACCCTGTGCATAAAGAGCAATGCTGGGGGATTACTATACCAGATCTCAAAGTATACTACAGAGATAGTCATAAAAACAACATGGTACTGGCACAAAAATAGACACATAGATCAATGGAACATCATTGACAATCCCAACCTGAATACACACAATTTCAGCCACCTAATATTTGACAGAGGTGCCAAGAACATACAATGGAGGAAAGACAGCATCTTCAACAAATGGTGCTGGCAAAACTGGATCTCCACCTGTAGAAGAATGAAACTAGACCCTTATCTTTCACTTTGCACAAAAGTCAACTCCAAATGGATCAAAGACCTCAATGTGAAACTGGAAACCCTGAAACTATCAGAAGAAAATACTGGCAGTAACTTACAAGATATAGGTGTAGGAAAGGATTTTCTAAATCAGACAGCAGTTGCTCAGGAATTAAGGTCAGCAATCAACAAGTGGGACCTCATCAAACTAAAAAGCTTCAGTACAGCAAAAGAAGCAATCAAAAAGAGAAGGGAAAACCCACAGAATGGGAAAAAATCTTCACCAGTGACACATCTGACAGAGGTTTGACATACAGAATATATAAAGAACTCAAAAAACAAAGTGAGAAACCAAATGACCCAATTAAAAGATGGGCTAAAGAGCTAAACAGAGTTCTCAAAGAAAGAAATAAAGATGGCTAAGAAACATCGCAAAAAGTTCAACATCTTTAGTAATTAGGGAAATGCAAATTAAAACCACCCTAAGGTATCACCTTTCCCCAATCAGACTGGCTAGGATCAAGAGAACAAATATCAGCAATACCAAATGCTGGCAAGGATGTGGAGAAAGGGGAACACTTAGTCACTGCTGGTGGGATTGCAAACTCATGCAACCTCTATGGAAAACAGTGTGGAGAACTCTTAAAAAACTAAAGATGAACCTAACATATGACCCGGTTATACCACTCCTTGGCATATACCCAAAGGACTCATCCTATTGTAGAGACACTTGTACAACCATGTTTGTGGCTGCTCTTTTCACAATAGCTAAGAGATGGAAGCAACCTAAGTGCCCCTCAACTGATGAGTGGTTAGCAAAAATGTGGCATATTCACACAATGGAGTTCTATTCAGCAGTAAAGAATGATAAAATAATGAAATTTGCAGGTAAATGGATGGGTCTAGAAACTGTTATACTAAGTGAAGTAACACAGAGTCAGAAAAACAAACGACATATGTTCTCCCTCATATGTGTCTCCTAGCACCAAATCCTTTTAAATTCCAGGTCCTTTTAATAAGATGATGCTATATAGCAGTCTCTTCTGCATGAAACAACTACCATCATCACGACTTCAGCTGAGCCTGATCACTAAACATTGTCACAACTGGGCTTGTTGACAGTTGTGCTCATTCATTAAAGGAGGGCCAAGTAAGGTCATTGGGCCTCCTCATCGGATTATCCAGCCACTCTTCCCAGCCAACTGTATGTAATTTGGCCCTAATCACACATGGCCTCCTGGATTTGGGCAGGGCTAAGTATACAATCTGGGGAAGGCTAGGAAGAGAAGGCATGACCCATGCTGGGTAAAGGCTTTCCAGTGTGCATACCCTCAGGTCACACATACACCTCAGCAACCCCTCAGTTATCTCGAAGCCTCTGACACTGATTCTAATCACTCCAACAGCTATCAAAATATCTGAAATCAAATCCTGAATCCATCACTCTAGAGTCCAGCCTTGGAAGACAAAAGAAAAATGGGGAGGAACCCAATAGAGGGATATTTTTGGAAGCCCCTGTCAAGAAATTCCAGTGGACTGTCATATGAACATTTGAAAGTTGCCCTGTTCTGACTTTTTTATAGCTCACTGTCTAGAACTTGTAATGCTAATTACTCTTGCCTTTACTTCTCCTTCACATCTCCTATTCACGATTCAAGGACTTTCTTTTCCCCTTAGAGACAAGAGTTATGCAATTTGGGAGTCTTTTAGATAGACCCACTGAAGGGGTACTCCAATTGCCTCACCCTGCGTCCCTGTTCAGCGTGGAAGTAGCCAGGACAGTCTGTGTCCCAATTCCCTATTCACAAGTTGGGTAACCTCTTCAGAGGATGGTGTGCTAAGAATAGGAGGTAGGAATTTGCTAGGCAGTTATGGTAAAACTACCCCAAAGAAAAGTAGCCAGTTTCTTAGCTAAATCTCACAATGTCCTTGGGCCTCTTAGCAACATACTCCATTCCAAAGGACAAAAACGTCAAAAATATTTGGAAGCTTTTATCTAATCCTTAAAAGATTTTAGGGTTGCCTCTTCAGAGGGGGTAATGTTAGAGTTGCCATGATTCCCCACCCCCTTTCTGGAATTTGACTGCGATAGCTAGTATTAATTGTCAACTTACAGGATCTAGAAATTGCCTAGGAGAGAAACCTCTGGACATGTCTGTCAGGGAGTTTCTGGATTAGGATGAGATAGTAAAATCCACCCTAGTTGTGGGCAGCATCATTCTACTGGCTGGACACAGAACTTCATAAAAAGGAGAAAGCCAGTTGAGCCGTGGCATCACCCATCTCCCTCTGCCTCCTAACTGGATACAATGTGACCAGCTGTTTCAAACTCCTGCTGCATGACTTCTTTGTCATGATGAACTGTTACCTCAAATCTGAGCCGAAATAAACCCTTCTTCCTTAAGTTGCTTTTTGTAGAAAAATATTTAATGCAACTGATTGGCTAGAATAGCTCACCAGAGCTCATGGAAGCACTGTTTTTGTTTGTTTGTTTTTTTGTTTTTGTTTGTTTGTTTGTTTGTTTGTCTTTTTTGAGACAGGGTCTCTCCTTGTAGCCCCAGCTGTCCTGGAACTCACTATGTAGACCAGGCTGGCCTCAAACTCACAAAGATCTGCCTGCCTCTGCCTCCCAAGTGCTAGGATTAAAGGCGTGCACCACCATGCCCGGAAGCACTGGACTTTCACCCATTTATTATAACGCATACTATAAAGATACATATGAACAGCCAGATTGAAGTGGTACATGGAACAAGGTATGGGGGAAAAGCCCATCACTTCCACATCCTCCAAGAACCTTCCTGTGTCCAGCTACTTAGCAGCTCACTCAACTCAAACCTTTCTGGCTTTTATGGGGCTTCATAACCCTGATGTAACTGACTGCATCACTGGCCATTGGTGATCAACTCAACCCTCAGCTGAGGATGGGGGCAGGGCTGTTTCTACCTTGGTCTTTGTGGTGATTATTCTTCACCTACAGGCTGCCTAACTGCCCCCCGCCCAATTCCCCAGTCTACTCATAGACATATCAAAGGCATCTTGATCACTACAGAGATTCCAAAGTTGGAAATGCTTTACCAGTAATATGTTTTTGCAATAGCACACACAGATATACTTGCATAAGTGTGTACAAATACATGTACATAGATATTCAATAAAGTGTTGTTTGCAACCATAAAAACATGGTCCAATGAAGGTTGTTGGCAATCTCTTTATAATAATACAGTTCAATATATTATTTACTGTATATTTATTTTAAGGGAGAAAAAGCAACCATAAAAATAGTATATAGAACCCGGGTGTGGTGGCGCACACCTTTAATCCCAGCACTCGAGAGGCAGAGGCAGGTGGATCTCTGTGAGTTCAAGGCCAGTCTGGTCTACATAGTGAGTTCCAGGACAGCTGGGGCTACAGGGAGACCCTGTCTCAAAAAGACCGAAAAAGGGAAAAATAGTATATAGAAGACTGGAGAGGTGGCTCAGCAGTTAAGAGCACTGGCTGCTCTTGCAGAGGGCCCAGGTTTGAATCCCAGCACCTACATGGTAGCTAACAACTGTCTGTCACTCTAGTTCCAGGGGATGCCGTGCCCTCTCCTGACCTCAGCAACACAGGTACACTTACAGACATGTAGGCAATACACTCATACACAAAAAATAAAAATAAATAAGATATTTTTAAAAATAGTATAAGGAGATACGGCAATGCTCTTGGTGCATTAAATGAAGATAGCAAGGTGACAGGAGAGCATGGTTCCATTTGTCTGGTTGGTTTTTGTTTTCTTCTTGCAGCAGGATTTTCATACATAGCCTAGGCTGGCCTTGAACTGGAGATCCTTCTGCCTCAGCCTTCTGAATGCTGGAATTTTTAAGCATTTACCATCACTCTTGGCTTCCAATGGGTTTAGCAGGGGACTTACAAATAGGCAGGTGGATGGATGGATGGATGGATGGATGGACAGGGAGATAGATACGGCAACTTAGAAATTATGGGAATGGGAGAGATTTATTTTTCATTTTATTTTCATGTGACTTTATTGTGAGCATGCCCTCTATTTATAATTAAAACAAACTAATTAAAATGCCATATAGTGAACATTAAAATCTTAAAACCATTTAGTAACAAGCAGAAGTCAAGGTCAAAAAATGAATTTCCCCAACAAGGCTGCCGGCACAAAGCTGTAGCAAGGCAGCTTTCCTTCAGAAGAATGCTTCTGCTTGAAGTCCCAAAGAGGAAAACACCTATCTAATCTCAATACTGTGACTGTCCCTTAGAGCCTGACCTCTGCTCCCGGCTCTGGTGAGAATTTGCCCTGACTCCTGCCCAGTTACTGGGATGGAGTGAAGTACCTCTGAGCCTCAGAGGTAGAGATCCCCACTTCAAAACACAACAAAACAAAAACAGAAAGAAAGAAATAAGGCAGAATGAAAGAAAGAAAGAAAGAAAGAAAGAAAGAAAGAAAGAAAGAAAGAAAGAAAGAAAGAAAGAAAGAAAGAAAAGAAAACAAAAACACTGGCTCTTAAAAGCAGGACTAGGACTAGAATAGGGCAGACTTGTGTGGTCCTGAGATAATAGTGGCAACATCGGTAAGTAACATTTACAAAGCCAGTAGTTGCTACCTCAAGTGAAGTGAGTTCTAGAGTAGAAAGGAATAAACCAAGGACAGTCATGTTCCAGGTGATTTATTCTTGCTGTGGGTTCCAGCAAGCTATTTCCAGCAGCCTCTGCTGATGTTTAAATGACAAGAATGATGTGGGGCAGGGAACCATTTTACCAACGGGTACCAAAAAAGAGCTCTTCCTAATTTCCCACCCATACCAGGAAAATTTTGTCTACACCAGACCCAGCCTCCAATACTTGCAAGATGGACCAGAATTGCATCAGCTAAATCTGGTCTACTTCACAACAACTGGGTGTTACTGTTTGCCCCACCTGACCCTTGCCCCACCACTTCCCACTGTCCCAAATCTTCCTTAGTTTTGCCATTTCCTCCTCCTGAGCTCCGAAAGTTAACTCACTAGTGTGTTCAGTGTGGAAAAGAGAGCAGTTCCCCTCCCCCTCCACTCTGTACAATCTCAATATCAGTGTTCAGGAAATTCAACTCTGTTTCTACTTCAGGGAAACTCCAGTGCCCTCTGGGAGTACACACTCAGGCCCTCTGGAACAAGGGTGACTTGGAGAAGGTTCAAGATGCCCCAAGGTAGTGGAGGATCAAGCCTGGTCAACGTGTTGGCTTTGGGCAGTAACTGTGACCGCCAAATCCATCTGTGCTGCAGGCCCAAGGCCTGTTCATCCGTCCTCTGCATTCCACTCCCATGTGTCTGTCGCAGATCAGTCTTATGGTGTAATGCCTATCACTAACCACCCAGGCAAGAAGGGCTGGTCCAACTCTATCCTCAGGAAGCCCGGTCCGCATTTGTCCAGGAGGGAAGACAAGCTTCCTGGCCCCTCTTAGCATGTCACAAAGGGTCTCTACAAGCTCTGGAGAAGGTCCTAAAGTGGGGTTTCCACTCCAGCGAGGACCTTTACTCAGGCACCTAGAGGGCAAATTCTTTTTGGCTGTCCCCCAACAGTATCAGACTCAACTTGACTTTAGAGGCCTGGGACCACGGCTTTGGGTCCAGCCCTCGGCCTGAAGCGCAGGCGCCCCAATCTCTGCCTGGCTGAGCCCCAACGCGACCGCGTCCCCACACCCCACGCGCGCACAAACGCCGGGGTCGCTGGAACCCTCCGGCCGGCCGCGTTCGATCCGGGCCGCGACACCAGGGCCAGGGTCCCCGCGGCTCGGCGCGCCGCCGCGTCTTCCTCCCGCCTCCTGCCTCGGTGGCCGCGCTGGGTAGGTAGCTGGGGGACCGGAAGGATAGCGAGGAAGTTGGAGAGGGTTTCCTGAGATGAGAGATTACTTCCGTCCGGGCGCTGGCCTCTCTCTGGAGCCGGCTGTCAGGGGCTCAGGGAGCCGGGTGCGCTGGGCTGGGCCGCGCCTTGCCACCTGCAGCGCCGGGACGGGCCGCGGGGCCCTCGGCGGGACGCGCTCGGCCCTGCTGCAGCGGCTCACCAGGGCCATCCTTGCAGGTGGGAGTCGAGAGCATCTCGAAGCGCTCAAGCCATGGTGGCCAAACAGCGGATCCGGATGGCTAACGAAAAGCACAGCAAAAACATCACCCAGAGGGGGAACGTAGCCAAAACCCTGGTAAGGCGGGGGCGGTGCCGCGGGGGCCGAACGGGCAGGACCCGCGGGGCGGAGCAGGGCGGAGCGGGCGGGCAGCCGGCACAAAGCCAGGCCTCCCGGCCCCTCCTCCGGGGTCCCGCAGAGTCAGGGTCCCCACTGGGCTCTGGCGGCGCGGACTTCTCTGCTTCCTCAAGGGCGGAGAGGGCCCTGGTTGGTAGATCCTCCCCAGGAGAATGGGTCATCGTCCTTGGGAAAGGCAGAAAGCTACATCTTAGGGGATAGCGAAGCCAACTGCAGGAGCACTGAGCTAGGAATCTAGTAGGTGTTAGAGTGTGATGAATGAATGAATGAATGAATGAATGAATGACATTTAGGTCCAGCTCCCAGACTCCGCCCCTGTCATCCCTACCCTCACAGGCGCACACCACCCTCAGGTTTCCTTTACCCCCTTTGTGATAGTCTCCCTGTGTATGTTGAAAGGGCATAAGGTGGAGCGTGAGATTCTGACCCACATTTCCCTCTATCCTTTTCTCTTTTGCAATGAGGCCTCCCGCCGCGGCTGGGCTAGAGTTTAGGTGCTGCGTTAGGGGAATTCAGCCCCATTCTGATGGTATAACCTCAGAGACCCGTCTATCGCCAGGGATTCTATGCCCCCAGAACTGCAGATTTAAGCTTTACAAGTCGCAATTTAAGTAACCGCTGTGCGGAGGCACAGAGATTTCTTTTGGTAAATCAGTTTGACCTTTAAGAAAATGCCAGACTCACATGTGACTTCTGACCATCAGAGGCGTGAGTGGGTTAGGTTGTTGCGTCGTCGAGTCGGTTTACAAGTCTGTGAGCAAAGGTGCTTGGAATCTATTATCCTGTATCGTTAAAGGGAAGTCCATCTGAAGCTTGGGGTTTGTCTGGAAACGCTTGCAGACTTGATGAGGCAATGCCTTTTAGCCAAAGAAATTATGTTGATTTTATTAACTGAGAGAAAAGCTGGATGTGTAATCATCACACCGGAATTCTTGCAAAACCAAGCAGAATTGTGGCAGAGAAACCTTGGAATCACTCTACTCAGAGCTTTTTACACAGTTCCAGGCTTAAGTAACTCTTTAAATTCTTTCATTTGGGAATTAGATCATTTAGTTGTGATTAGGAGAACAAAATGCCAATACACCATCGCAAAGGAATCATATTTTCACATAGATCTATGTTCCCTTCCTTGTTTATACTCAGGGGAAAAAGGTACCACTCTCCAAGTTGACATTGAAAAACAATTTTAATTGGCATTAAAACAGGGAAGATTGCATATTCCTAGGAGATCAATTCTTCCTTCTCAAGGTGTCTGACCTACTTGCTGACACAGTAAAAATATCTAGATGTGGCTCTTTCTAATGAACTAAGGAATCAGTATTCAGAGGTTAAGTGATCTCAGTTGACAGCTTATGTGACTGCACAAGTAACACATAAGAGCTCATTTGCAGAACTGTCTTATCCATTAGCCTCCATGGACTCCATGTCTGGCACATCCAGCTTTGCAAAACCACTGGTAAATGCTGGGAACCTAAACAAACAAACAAAAAAAAGTGTTGACTCCTAAATAAAAAAATGGAAAATCTGGGAAAAAACTATTTAAATATCTAATAGCTATAACCGCAATTCAACTCAACTTTCTAATGTACATTTAAATTATATTTAACGTGTGGCATATCTAATAGGTTCTGATATACCATGGTTGGGTTCTCTGAACTGTGCCTGGCGCCTATGAGGATTGGTCAGACTAAATTTGTAATGAAAGGTTTCCAAACCACGCCACAAAAAATGTTTGTTTTCAATTGTTTGGTCTTTTGGTTAGCTTTATTGTAAATGGTTCAGCATCCAAAAAGAAAATGAAATTTTCTCTTTAAAATGAAATTCCATAAATCCTAAATCTTGTTGTTGTTTTTTTTTTTATTACAAGTCAAACATGGTTATACGCTGATAGAAGTAACTTAGAAAAGATAAGTTATTCAGTATGAAGTTCAGTGAATGGGAACAGACTTACAAGTTCTAATTGAAACTTTAAACCAATTGTTCAGAAATAAACTTCGGTAATGGTATGCAGATGTTTCAGTATTTGATGATTAGCTAATAACTTTGGGGTAGATCAATATTTTTCTCCCACATAGCAGATCTTGATACAAGAAACAACAACAAAAAAAAATTGAATCACTGTTTTGTGATTGGACATTAGTGATTCCTCCAGTATGAAGGGAGAATGTAAAAAGCAGAGTTCTCAGTTGCCCTACAGGGATCTTATCACAGAGACAGTCATCCCCTCACATTTGGGAGCCTCATGTTTAAAGTGAACTTTGTCATTTACAGAACTGCTGTAGAATTGTTGTTCTTACCTTTCCAGAAGTAGAATCAGGTTTAGGTGAATTGTCTCAATGAGACTGTACTAGGCACCATTTTCTAAAAGAATAAATAGCAATCCGAAGCTCTCAGAAGAGGATATACTGGAATTATGATCGGACAAGGCCTTGAGAGCTCTGAAAGTCCTCAACTAATTTCCATCCACTGGAGAATGCCCTCAAAAATGGTTTTGTGTTCTGTACTCGAGGCTACATGCTGATAATTTGTGTTTAATTGCAAATGTAAAGGACTCTGTTTAGCACCCTTAATAGCCCAATGATTAGTATAGAGCCTCCTGGATTCACCTCTTGGCTCTACTGGAAATAAAGTTGAAAATGAAATTTCAATGTGCCATTAATTGAAATAGTGGCAGCAGGAATCAGATTCTGAACAATTACGGCAATATTTTAGGAAAGCTCTAGAAGAAGGTAGAGAAGGGCAAATGTCACATTCTGTTCAAGTTACTTTGTTTTGAATCTCTATTGTTACTTGATCTGAGCTTGACCTGGTCTTAAGTGCTAAAGAATGACAGTGAAGTTATATTATGCAATTCTTTTTTAAAAAATATTTTTTTTTATTTTATGTGTATGAGTGTATTGTCTGCGTGTAGGTAAGTGTACCCCTGTCAATCAATGTCTGCAGAGGTCAGAAGAGGGCATCAGATCCCCTGGAACTGAAGTTCTGGATGGTTGTTAGCCACCATGTGGGTGCTGGGAACCAAACCCAGGTCCTCTGCAAGAGCAGTGAGTTCTTTTAACCGATGAGTCCCCAGCCTCATGTTATGCAGTTCTTAAAGACTGATTTTGTCCTTTTCTGGTCAAGAGCAGCAACCTGTTATACATTGTGACTCTCCAGCATAGTGCTTGTCAAGGCCAGAGGATGAATGACTTTCATCTTTAGTCAAAGCTGACATGATGTTGACAATTGATTGCTCTTTTTCTATCTAGTAACTAAGATACAGAGATAACCCACCTGTTACTACCAATTATACAGTATTATTAAAAAGACAGGGGCTAGGGATGTAGAGTGCTTACCTAGCATGTGTAAAGCCCTGGTTTTGATTCTCAGCACCACATAAAACTGGAGTGATGGTACATGCTTGTAATTCCAACACTTGGGAGGTGGAGGTAAGGTCATATCATCCTTGGCTACTTGAGTTCCAGGTCAGCCTGGGCTAGAAGAGATGCTGTCTCAAAACAAACTAACTAACTAACTAACTAACTAACTAACTAACTAGCTAGCTAGCTAGCTAACAACTCTTCCTAGACCTTTACCTGACCTAAGAAGTCATATTTAATGAAACTTGCATGCTTATTTATTCTGTAGTGAATATCTTCTATATTTAAGTTTGCACCAGGCTTTACTATACATTGATAACTCAGAGAAATTCAATGCCAGCCTGTGTGGGGCCTGCAGTCTAATAGAGGAGACAGACCCTCAGGAGTCAATAATTATAAACCATTAATAAATGTTAAGAAAAGGTACATGATCATAAAAATGACAAGTGCATCTCAGTAAGGCAAAGAGGAGAAGGCTGTCTGTAATAGGTAAGCTGAGACCTCACAAATTGTAGCCTTATATATAATAAAATGAAGAATTTCTTTTTTTCAGTACTAGGGATTAAATCCAGGGCCTTATACACGCTAGGCAAGTACTCTACCACTGAGCTATATTCCCAGATCATGGTTCTTTGAAGTAGGATCTCCTTATGTGGCCCAAGCTGGCCTTGAACTTACTATGTAACCCAGGCCAGCCTCAGACCCAACAATCCTGCCTTAGCTCCCTAGTTGGTGAGATTCTAGGTGTATGAGGACTATTATTAAAAATGAAATGGTATCTATAATTTACATGAACCTAGAGTGTAATTCTACTTTATACATAAATACATTTTTTTTAGTTTTAATATGCAATGTATTTTCCAGGAAAACAAATCAAAGGAAGATTGTGCTTCTTTGTTTAAAATTTTACTAAAACATGTTCAACATAAGAGAATTGTATCCTCAGTAACAGTGCCTTCCACCTGAATGTGTAAACTCTCATGTTTGTATTGACAAATATATTTTAGTCCACATTTTATAACGTTGAACATAAATCATTTAGTCCATATTTTATAATGTTGAACACATTTTAAAATGTCCACAGCCTTAATTGAAACCTGAAATTTGGATTTATAATTTGCATCACAAGTAAACATTTGTCCTAATATCAACTCTACCAACATGTTTCTCAGTGTGTTTTTGAACTTATACTAAATGCAGGCTATATTTTGCTCAAGATAATGAAGAAGTAACCAGGCGAGATGCTTTTGCTTTTCCCCCCACTCTCTTCCTTCCTTTTTATTTGATAACACTCTGCTTTTTCTGATGTCTCTCCAGAAACTATGTGCTGTGCCATTCATTTATTTAGTTGTAAGAAGCATCTACAGGTAGGCTAAGGTGTTGTGGAGCCAGTCTTGTTTTGAGAGGATCATCAGGTATGCAGGGCTTTGTCTGCAGGTTCAGCTGTCCTGCTTGCTGGAGTAGAGTGGAGAGACTTCTCCAGGGTGCAAGCATCGCTGAGGCTTCTGAGCTTTCTTACAACATGCTGCTCCCCTCACATCTACTCCCAGAATGCTGGAATGCTTCTGTGGTTATACAGATTTCCACTGCACTGAAGTCCTCCATTTTAAGTATATTGAAGGTTTTGAGGAATTGTCTGTGTTCCCAAGTCCTTCTGGGAATGCACAGATGCAAGAATGAAAGATGAATCTAGTAGGAAATACCCAAGCTCCATAATGAATTGAATCCCAAACTCGTTAGCAAAGTGTGAACTTCAATTTCTCAACTACAAAATAGAAATAGTAATAATACTTGCACTATTGTTCAGGCTAGAGGTAAGAGGTGTGGCCTGCCTAGTAGAGTATCTGGTTAGATTATTCTTTCAACAGATGGCCACAATTATTATCAATACCATTTGCACCCCAAATCACTGTGTATATTTATGTATTTATACCCCATCTGACCCTGCAATAGTTAAGACCACTAACTTCATTAAACTACAGTGCTAATAAAGTAATGAATAATTTTTATCAAACCTATCCCCATCATTTATAATCAGTTTTACTCAGCTATATATCTGTAACTAGGAGTTGCAACCGAGTCTGTCTTATTCATACATAGCAGAAGTCCTGGTGCCTAGCAGCAAGAAGCCTATGAATATTTATTGAATCAGTAAACTTAATCTTAATTTTTCCTATTCCTTCTAGAGGCCACAAGAAGAGAAATATCCTGTCGGGCCATGGCTTCTGGCACTGTTTGTTTTTGTTGTCTGTGGCTCAGGTATGGCATTTTACTGAATTATAATCCATGGTCTCCACTGACCTTGAAAATCCATGTTTTGTCTATAAACTCAATAAACAAAAAGATATTGATGTGGGGTTCAAGTTAATAATTGCCTTAAACCTTAATCTTAATTTTTTTTTAAATTTAGGCTCTATTCCAAATATGAAGAGGCAGAGTGATACACTATCAAATCATAATCATTAAATGGGTTATACACACTGTGGAGTTAGGTTGAGCTGTTCTGTGTACACAGCCTAAATAGAGCATTTGGAACAGAAAGTAGAACACCTGTGTGCCAAACATAAATTCACATTCCAAAGAGAAGGAGAGGCCTTATGCTTTATAAGAGAGTTCTACAGAATGGTCAGATAGACCTGAGCCTTTGACCTGAGCCGTAGATAAGGGTCTCCCGATACTGTAGGAAGACAAGTTCAGAGAGCTGCGCTTGCTTACATACATGCAAATGCTTATGCAAATATGCACAAGGGATATAAGAAAAACAGACATACAATTCAATGTTGTTGGTGGAGCCTTATCTTGGTTCCTGGTGCCCATGTATTGAGTTTCTGCAATACTGGTGAGTATAGTCAGTTCTAAGTGGGGGGAATAGTTTCAGGGGTTCCCTCATCCTCTTCTGTCATTGTTTCTAAGGGCAGGGAAAGCAAGAAGCTTTCTGTGTAGGCTTAGGGATCTTACCAAGATATGCTTCTACCCCCATAGAAGCCTATTATTCCTGAGGGATCAGCTTCTTGATCTTCAAGAGATCACTATCCCAAGGAAACCGAAGCTCTTAGGAGGAAGGAAGATCTGAAGTGCTTAGGGCTATTGTTGCTTGTGTTTGAAGGTTTTTTTTTGTAAACTTTTTGTTGAATCTTTGTGTATTTCATACAGAACATCTTAATCATTCTTATATTCCATTCCTCACTGGTACCTCCCATAGCCACCCCCCACAGAAGTCACACATTCTGTCATTTGTGTTAAGGACAATTATGTTTGAGATATTTTAAAAAGAGGATTTGATGCCTCAAGAAGAGAAAATCATCCACTCAAAAAATAAAGTTCTAACCCTTTTCAGGAGATACATCTCTGAAGATGTGTACCTGTCCAATATATGAATGCTCTTATTACTAATTTTAACACATTTACCCTATTTCTGAATGCTTCTGAGAATGGCATGCCTACATGCCTACATCTTTAAAAAAAAAAAAAGAGCCTATTCCTGGTCAGGTGTCATCACGCATGCCTGCAATACCAGTACCTGGATGACTGAGTCAGGAAGAACATCAGTTTGAGATTAGTTTGGGCTACACAAGTTCTAAGCCATCCTGGGCTTCAGTGAGACTCTGTCTCAAAAACAACAGAACAAAACCCTTTTCTCATTCTCTGCTGAACATGCAGAGGTTTTGAAGGTGAGCACCTGGTAGATCCTTCTGAAAACTGAGCTTCCCTGGCTGCCTCAACCTTAGCTCATGAAGTATGGTTTCTAGACCCCTCTTCCAGATACAGTCAATGACTATAGTACAGCACTAACATCTTCAGAAGGTCGTCTAGAAGCGGTGTGATCAATAGTGGTAGCAGGATTGTTACCACCCTTGAGTTTACTACTCTGCCGCCATTAACATGTCCTGGGCTTGCAGTTACCATTTAACCCTCATGTTTGTAATGTAGGCCTCATCAGCCATCAGGCCCCATCTTATTTTTCTTTTTCTTTTCTTTTTTTTTTTTTTTTTTTTTTTTTTTTTTTTTGGTCTTGCCCTTGCTAGGCAAGCGCTCTACCACTGAGCTAAATCCCCAACCCCGTATTTATTACTTTATTTATTTATTTTCCATCCATCTTTTTGAGACAGGGCTCCCTGTAGCACCAGCTGGCCTGGAACTCACTATGTCGACCAGGCTGGCCTTGAACTCTGCCTCCTGAGTGCTGGCATTAAAGTCATGTGCCACCACACCCGGCTCAGAAGTATTTATCACTTTAATTATTTAATGATTCTGGATT